GCACGCGATAAGCATCACGCTTCGAATCGCGTCCGCCGTTATTATCGGGATTCGGTTATCGTACTTGAAATTAATATCGTTCGCTCGTGTGATAGCAGCATTGTTGATTGTGGTAAATTATCAACAATAACAAAAACACGATGTCGAGTGTTTCGAAAACTATTTTTCAAATGTCCATCGCTAACGACGAGATTTCAAAATACTGATAAATTGATACTTTTACAACTGGCTGATGTTTCAAAATTTAAATACTATTCTACAAATTTCCCTGTAAATGCATTTCAAAATCTGGGAGAATCTTATTCCGACATATTTGTTGATAATAACAAATTAAAAGTAGAGTTAGAAGTATTATACCACGATGAAAAATATCAAGATTTACATCATGTTTATGATTTAGTAAAAATATTTGAGAGTAGTGGATTAAAAGTAATTTTGCCTGAAGTTTATAAACTATTTTCTTTAATATTAACTATACCATCAACCAGCGTATCAGTGGAAAGGAGTTTCTCCTGTCTAAAACGTATAAAAACATATTTGCGCAACAGTATTTCCCAAAATCGATCAAGCTCTCTTGCTATAATTTCAATAGAAAAGGAGTTAATTGACCAACTAAAACATACTGGAGCGTTTTATGATAAAGTCATAAATATTTATGCCAGTAAAAAAAATAGAAGTATTGATTTACAATATAAATCATAAAATCATATTAGGACTTTGTAGGTATATAATATGTCAAATTGTCAAATCATATATTTTGTAAATAATGTATTATTTATTAAAATGTATATTGTATATAATTTATTTTAAAAGGTTTATGTCAGATGACAGGTTATTATTATTTTTTGTTTTGCGTGTCATATTAGGAACACCTATATTTTGTTTATTAATTATTATGTATTTATGTTTTAAGTTTAAATGAAATTACTGCTAAAAGGCTAGTCATGTAATATATTATATTGTTTTTTGTTATTTATATTTTATGTGTGTAAAATACTGTAAATTATATGTATATAGGTAGTTAGGGAGGGGTGTATGGAAAAAACCTCTACGTGGTACACACTAGGCAACAGAAATGATCTAATCATAACTGGCAAATTTTTCCACTCCATTTTGATAAGCCATACCTACCATTTAAACTTTAAAAAATACATTAACATATTTTGTCTCTGTGTTAGGGTAATAGTGTATTTACTATTTAATATTTTTCCGCTTCATGAAAATTACATGACAAAACCGCCACTGTATACAGTTCGAACAAGCTCAGATACACAGAGAAACGCAAAATGGACGAAGTTTTGAAATTAACCAAGATGAAGCAACATTCAGCAATGCTGCGGCAGATGAAACGTATTACAAACACATAAAACGTAACAAAAAATAAAAACAAAAAACTGACAATCCAGCACAACAGCTAGTTAAAATTCTAAAAGAAAATTCTACTCGTAGAAAACGTCAGTATGAAGAAAAGTGTATCAGCGAAGGACATAAAATAACTAACCAATTTGAAAATCTGGATGATGTGGACATGTTTTTCCTGAGTATGTCAAGAATGACAAAACAATTACCAAAATTTGAACAGGCTCAAATTACACTTGCATTAAATAACTCAGTATTATCTGCTGAAATAAAGTGTAATCGAGAACCAAGTTCTTCAATTATTTATCCCAGTTATCCTACACAACAACTATATGTTTCAACTCATTCTCCGGCACCTAGTTTGAATAGCTTGCAGACAATGCCATCAGTTTCAAGTTAATCCTCAGCACTTAGTACGAGTAGTTTACATGCAATGCCATCGCCTGTAGAATCACCCAACAATTATTCTATAACTACTGAACATAATTATCAAAGATCAGTGGAGCAACATTTTCCAGCACAAGACCAGACTCCTACCAGACCAACATTACTTCAAATGATGTCTATTCCTCATTCTCAATATGAGTGATTTAATATTAGCTTAATAATCTAAAATTGTATACTAATTATTCATAATCTTAATACTTGGTGGTAATTAATATATTAATATTCTTTATTTGTAATAATTTAAAATTAATTTGTTTAAATTATAAAACTAAAAACATATACAATTAATGATATTTAAAAATAATAAAACAATGTCGAGAAATATTTTGTTTTTTATTACTTACCTCAAACAAAAAGCTAACATTTCTTCGGTACTAATAGGTTTTCGAAATTGTGTGCTTTATTTTTGTATGTCTTTTTTAATAAGGTCGTGTATATAATCAAATTCTTCTTTTGTCATTCGGAAATACATGTGAAATCGTCTTGGATCGTTTCGTAGTTCTTGAACTAGACGATGGAATTCTCCCAATTTTGACCTTTTTTTATTAATATAGTGTACCCAGCATGATCGGGTGGACTTTTTATTTTCTTCGTCCAAAACTGCAACAACAGCTGCAGTTTCTAATTCTTCTTCAAACTCTGAACTACTTGAAGTTAATATTTCCATTTTAATTTTACTTAAGAAAAAACACCTACACAACACAGTGACTGTTGACTTGGTGCTAAATTGTGACATGATAATGTATTTATGTGACGATAGTTTATTTCTAAGCGTGATATCACGGATTAAATATGCCAAAGTGACAGCACGTGAGCTCACGTGACGTGACAATAGTCTGTTCCACCCAACAATTCGAATTACATAATTCGCACAATGTTAACACGGTGTTTTCGAATAGCTAAACCCACCACTTAGATCGGACAATGCGGCAAACGGACACTTTCGCGACCACGCAAAATTCATGTTTTTCGTTTAATTATAAATTAACGCCGCCGCAGTTTGCCGGAAAAAAATACGAAGAACCGAAAATTTTTATTGAAAATTGTGAATCGGTGTTCCGTAATTCTAGTATTCCGCAATCCGAATGGATACGATTGATACAGAACCAGTTAAACGACGCCGCTTCTACGTGGTATAAAATGGTCAAATCATTAGGTTTAACGTGGGACGATTTACCTAACCTAACCTTAAATCCGGATATTGGCAACTATCTTTAAAACCTGAAGCCCGAAAATACACAGCTTTCCGAACTCAAAGGGGATTATTTCAATTTATAGTACTTCCGTTTGGTTTGAAAAATTTCCCGGCAACTTTCGTGCGCTTGATGGGGGAGGTATTAAAAGGGCTGATAGGTGTCTTTGTGGAGGTGTATTTATACGACATCGTTATTTATTTATACGATCTCGAGGAACACCTGATCCACATTGACAAAGTAGTCGAGAGATTACATAGGAGTGGGTTTAACTTGTCACCCCAAAAAGTGTCATTTTGGTCAGACCCAAATTTCGTTTTTAGGGCATATCGTTGACGCCGATGGCATCGACAAGCAACCTGAGAAGTTGGAGGTAATTTTAAACCATCCTGTACCCAAAAATATACGTACGTTACGAAAATTTTTGGGCGTGTGCAACTGATATAGTCAGTTTGTACACAATTACGCCGACATAATTTGTCCCTTGACTAGTTTATTAAAAAAAGGGTGTCAGATGGCGTTGGTCTAAAGTCGAACAGAATTTTTTTGATGATATAAGGAAGAAGTTGTACGTCTCCCTAAAATGAACCCCCCCCCCCCGATTTTTCGAAACCATTCTGTTTAAAAACGGATGCATCCGAAGTAGGGGTTGGCGCAATTTTATTTCAACAGGAGGATATCCCAGAAAGAAAAATAATTGCATACACCATTAAAAAGTTAAACGAAACGCAACGCAAAATTGGGGCGGTGGAACGTGAGTGCTTATGGCTAATTTGGGCGATTGATAAATTTAAACCTTTTCTGGAATCTCGTACCTTCGAACTGTATACCGATAACTCGGCGCTGACGTGGCTTCATCGAGCGAAAGATAAAAACAGTAAGCTAACTCGGTGGGCACTACAGTTAGGGACATTAGATTTCGTTATTCGACATGTTCCCGGGATACAAAATGAGGGTCCCGATATGTTATCTCGGTTTCCGACGGACGGTCTGACGTTGAACGAAGATGCGTTAGAGGAAAATTTTGTTGGTTTTCCAACGAGTAACACGGTAATCGGAGTTAGAGAACCAGAACAAATTTATCATATTTATCCGAACTCGCGTGACGAGAGCCCCATTTCCCTTCAGACATTAATAGATTGGCAGGGTGCGGATCCCAAAATCCAAAATATTTTGTCTATTTTTAAGTCCGATGGTCCAGCGAATAATACGCGCTTGACCGACTAAAAAAATTCGATAATTTCATTTTCGAGGAGGGCCTACTTAAGAAAAAGAAAGTAGGGGGCAATGTAAATAATATGATAAGTAGTTTGGTAATGATACCCGTTGACAAACAGGAGCATATCCTATGGCGTTATCACGACCACATCCTGGTGGGACACCCGGGGCGATAACAAATAAGTTTTATTGGAAGTCCGTTGTAATATGCATTTATTACTAATAATTAATAATACGCATATTCCTAAGTCATATAAGGAAAAACAGTAGAATAATTATTGCACACATAAACTGTAATGAGTGCCATGTGCGAATTACAAATCACGAACAACCGCAAACAACATCATCATTCGAATAGGACAGTCAAGGCCAAGGGCAACCATGTGACGAATCATCATTTGAATATGACGATCAAGACCAAGGACAACCAAGCGGCGAAAACAACACAATTAAAACAGAATCAAACAGAGTATATAAAGGCTCCGTTTCACTACCAACGGCAGACGTGTCTAGCTATCAGTACAAGCCCTTCTGAGTTTTGTCTTTGATATTGTTAGAGCGCAAATTTATAATTTGTATCCTAAAATAATTTATTTGTATTTATTAAAGTGTTTAAAAGTGTTTCAATTAATTATTAAATCAATTTATCCTACTACAACAACATAATTACGATAGGTACCCGTTTTTATTGGGTACCACGTAACACCATACGGGAATCTACTCGGCGCTACGTGGTGGCCTGCCACATATGCGCGTGTACTAAACCGTTAAATAATAAAATCGATGTTCCGTTACGCCCTAGAAAGCCAGCCCAACCATGGGAAGTGGTAAGTGTCCATTTAATGGGTCCTTACCCACGAACGGGTCGGGGTAAAACCAATATTTTAGTAGCCACTGATTGTCACAGTAGGTGGGTGGAAGCGTATCCCTTGGGTGCAGCAACGGCTGCCGCAATTACCCAAACTCTGGAAAGGGAATTTTTCGCGAGATTTGGTTACCCACGTGTGCTACTAAGCGATAATGGCCCTCAGTTTACTTCGGACGTGTGGACAAGTGCACTCAACCGATTCGGGGTGGAGGGGTGGACTACCCTAGTATACCACCCGAGGGCCAATTCGGTAGAAAGACGTAAACAGGAACTGAAAAAGTGCCTGCGGGCACTTCTGGTGAACGATAATCATCGTTCATGGGACCAGAAACTCCCTTCGGTTCTGTTTACATTGCACAACCGGAAGAACGACAGGACCGGCGTTTCACCATCAGTTTTGGTTTTTGGACACGAAACTAAAAGTTCGGGAGATTGGGCACTAACCGTGAGGTCTGATAGTACACCGTGGGTTCCGGCAACATCAGACACAAACACGGGTGTCAATAAATCGAGGGGAAACCGGCGTTTATTTGCTGTCGGGGACCAGGTTTTTGTTAAGGCACACCCTCTCTCCAAGGCCGATCAGGGTTTTCACGCGGGCTTCGCCACGAAGTGACGGGTCCCGTCACACTTAAGGAAAAACTGGGGAAAGGGGTTTTCTGGACGGATCAGAATCCACCGCGCAAGGTGCACGTCTCCAGTTTGAAACCCTCGCACACGAACTGATACTCGTTCCGCAGTCGACCAAGTCGTACAAAAACAAAGAAAAAAAAAAGGGAACTGTGGTGGTATCACAGTTGATTTTTATTATATTTTTCTTTCTTTTGTTTTATTAATAATGGTTGTTCTTCTATAGATGTCACGCGAAGGGGAAGCACCGGGGAGATAACCGCTTGCGTCCGAGCAGGACACACTTGAGGTCGAGCCTGGAGGACTTGGTGTGGCAGACCACCTCCCAAGTCAACCTGCTCCGGCAAACGAGGGCGACGCTTGTTGGGTTGAGGGCGTTATTCCCGCCGGACACACAGCCGGGATTGACGGTGCAGCAAATCGGCGATGTAGACACGGCGGTACTGCGGGCCGATCCTCGTTTGTGGGTGGCGTATGAAAGAGGATGGCGCCCAGTGGGAGGAATACGAATTCTAGCTGGCCAAAAACAGAAAATTGAACAATCGTTTTAATTTTAAATTTTTACAAATTTTTATACACAGATACTTGGTGATAGTAAATATAGCACCATCGATAACATTTATTAGGTTTCCGGCGTATCGCGGTGATAAGCGCGGTTTAATGTTTTTAGATTATTGAACTCTGTATAAGTATATCATTTACGTTGCAACGTGTTTTAAGCATTTGTCAACAACTGAGAAAAATAATTTTTAAGAATTATTATAATGGACGATCCCATGTTGACTTTAGATGGTAGGATTTCCATTTTCATTTATTATTTTAATTAAAATAATTCATGAATTAGATCTTAAATAATTAGTTATTAACCTATTAATTTTAGCTTTAATAAAGCAACAAGCCTTCTAGAGGTTTGATTTTCTTTTTTCTACAAACCTTAATATATGTACTTTAATATGATATACTAATTATAACCCCCTCAATCCCCCTAACTGAATTATTCATGTTTTTTTTTTAGATAAAAGTAGCAATGAACACAATATATTAAATAGTTGCTTATTTGAAGTATGTTTGAAAAATGAAATTTATATTAATGGATTATTTAAAAAATAGACTTGGTAACATTTAGAATGTTGATAATAACAATTTTGAAAAACGTATGTCGAACAAAATTGATGGATTTTGTTGTACTTTGAATAAAAAATGGAAATAGTCGAACTATTGTATAACTAAGTTTAAAAAAAAAATAAATTTTGGCTACAATTACATTTTAATATTCCTTCCATAAAAAAATGTAATATTTCTAACCAACCTTCGACAAGTACCGGTAGACCACCCAAAGTTTTTTCTGAGCTTAGTGACCGCTCTAAACGTAGGCACGTTAAAAATTTAAGGAAGACGATAACATCGGATGAATTAGTTTACGCTGCAAAATCTACATTATACGTTGAAGGAAAGCGTGCAGCAGCCCATATTATTTCACAAGTATCTGAGTTTTCACCTAAACGTGCAATAAAAATAAGGAAAATGTATACAAATACTAAGTTAAACCTGACACAGAAGATGAGGCTATTGCATTTATGGTTGATACTCGTATGACAAAAAATGTTTACCGTTTTACCCGACTAGGTGCAAAAAAACATTGAGCTGATATATATCCTTCCTATGATAAAATTCGATTGGTTAAAGATAGGTGTTATCCAAAAAATATTGCGATAAGTGTAGTAGGAGCGTCAGTTCCTCTCCAAGATTTATTAGAACATACATTATTAAGATTATGCGAAACACTTAATTTTGATGATAATACTAATTATGGAGAATTATATTCACAATTTGATTTTATATGTAAATGGGGATGCGATGGTAGCTCTGGCCATAGCGAGTATCATCAACAATTTAAAAAAACAGAAACAGATGATTGTGATGTTGAAAGCGATATAAATCTAACAGATGCTTGTATTTTTTTGTTTTCATTGGTTCCTCTGCGACTTATAGCACATTATAAGAGTATAAATGAAAAATCTATTTTATGGGAAAATACATACCCTTCTTCAACTCGATATTGCAGGCCAATAAAATTTCTCTATGAAAAAGAGACATCAGAGGTTATCCGAAATGAAGTTAAAAAAAACAGAAAAAGAAATTATTGAATTAAAATCATTCGATTTAAATATTAATAATAATGTTATTAGTGTAAATTATACTATGCTTATGACAATGGTTGATGGTAAAATAATTAATACTCTAACTGAAACGTCAAGTCAGGTATGCTTTATTTGTAAATGTAACCCTAAAAACATGAATAACTTAAATAAAATTCATAATTTTCAAATTAATGAAAATAACTTTAAATATGGATTATCCACTTTACATGCGTGGATCAAATTTTTAGAATGTGTCTTGCATATTTTATATAAATTAGAATCAGCCCCTACAACCAAAAGAACCACTACTGAGCAAAATAATAGTATTGCAGAAAAAAAAAAGTTGGTACAATCTAGGCTTTGGAATGAATTAGGTTTGAAAGTCGATAAAGTTATTCAAAGAAGAGGTACTTCCAATACTCGAAATGTTGCTCGTAGGTTTTTTAAAAATACTGATAAGGTGCCTGAGATAACCGGAGTTGATATCAATTTGTTGAATAGATTTTCTGTCATTTTAACGACTATGTCTAGTGGCTTAGAAATAAACTACGAACGATTTGACAAGTACGCAAAAGAAACTGCTGAGTTATATGTCCAACTTTATGATTGGTATCATAACCATACACAAAATATTAATGCACGGCTCATTAATAATACAGTATGCCCTTGTTCCGATTGGTCAGTTATCGGATGAGGCTCAAGAGGCACTAAACAAGGACTACATTCGATGTAGAAAACATCATTCAAGATATAATTCACGTTTAAATACCAATACAGATCTTTTCAATTTTCTTTTAGTAACATCTGATCCTAAAATAACCTCATTAAGAACCGAACCTAAAAAAAACTCCAACTAAATTACCTCCAGAAGTTATATACTTATTGAACATTGAAAAATCATGTGATGAATCCGAATCCAGCGGTAGTGAAAGTGATTCCAATTGATTTTAATATTTGTTAATAAAAAATATAATTTAAAAATATCTTTTTTTTTTTTAAATTTCTAAACATAAGTAAATAAATAAATAAATAAAATTATTAACTATGTAAAACTATAATGTAAATGTAGTAAAATATATTAATGTACATTATTATGTAAAATTATTATATTGTATTCATTCTTATTTCGTTATTATTTG